GGGGACCCCCCGGAGCTGGGTGAGAGCCACCCCGCCGAGGCGGCCTCCAAAGCGGAGCGCCGCGGGCCTCACCTCACCGTCCCCAACTTCTCCTTCGAGCCGGCGGACGGCGCCGCCCCGAGCGGCCTCCCCGAACCGGCCCCCGCGGACTCGGCCCCCGAGCTCCTAAAAACTCCCCGGAGCCCCCCCGAGAACAGCAAAGAGCCGCCGGGCCCTGTCCGGAGCCCCCTTCGGAAGCAGGACTTGGCCACGGGGACTGTTGCCACAGAGGAGACCGTGCAGGAGCCCGTATAGCTCCGGGGACACGGGGGTCCCAAGGGCTTGACACCAACGGGGGCTTGGAAAAATCCGAAGGGACCGAGCGGCTCCGTGGCCCAGCTCCCGTTTGTTGTTGTTGTTGTTGTTGTTGTTTCTTTTTTTTTTTTTTTTCCCCCTTTTTTCCCCCTTTTTCTCCAGTTTCTGTGGAGGTTTGCAAAAAAAAGACAGAAGAAAAACACACAAAAAAAAAAGGAAAAAAAAAAGACTAAACAAGCAGGAAACCAAACGAACGGCTGAGCGGGGCCGGGCCAGGGGAGCGGGTTCTTTCCTAGCGGGACGGGGGAGCCGGTTCGGGGGTCGCTCCGTTCCTGCCTCCCCCTCCGCGGCCTCAATCACATTGATTCGGGTGCAACGTGGTGGGGACTCGGGGGAGCCCCTGGGGCTTTTGCTGTCCTCTGGTTTTATTTTTTTAAACATGCTCAGTTTTGGAAAAGGCGCCTTTTAGAGACGTCACGTCACGCGGGAGAGCCCCGGCGGGGGGAGCTGGACATTGTCTGTATAGCAGCAATTCTATACATAGAAATAATGTATTTGTGACATACAAAACCGGGAAAAAGACAAAAAAAAATGTACCCACAAAAAACTCTCTCTTCATAATGCACATATTTTTATAGAGAAACTATGCTGGTTTTTGCATTACATGTGACTCCGCAACTGGGTGGTGTTTCCTTGGGTTTTATGTGGACTAATTATTACGGCCGTTCATTTTCCAAATGTTTCTCTTTGCTTTCCGTTCTCCTCTCGCTCCTTCCCTCCTGTCCTCCACCATCATCCCGCCGGCTTCTTTTCGCAGCTGATGCTTTAGGTGTCTCTCGTTTTTCTTTTGTACTTTAGAGGTTGTCCTAACTACAAGAAAAAAAGAAAAACCAAATCACTACTGAATTGTAGCCAGTGCAATAATAAGTTATTCATTCTTCTTGTCTGTACAACTGTCCTTTTTCTTCATTTTCTTTTTTTTTTTCCTTTTTTAACTGAAATTCAGGTTAAATGTTGCAATAATCTGAACTAACGTGCACAAACAAGGTTTCTTGTGTTACAAAAAAAAATTAAAAAAAGGAAAAAAAATTACAGAGAGGTTAAAAAAAAAGACGAAACAAATAAATAGTAAATTATTTAAGAAATGTATTTTGTCTACTGCAGTTCAAAGTAAATTATTGCTACACGATGCAAGGGTACGAAGCGCTGTCTTAGGTGATGCTCAAGTGAGCGCCTGAGCTCACGGTCTCTCCTCCTCTTCGTTCTCCTGGTGCCGCTCGAACCCGGTGGTGCCAGAACTGCCTCCTCGCGGCCTCCGAGGAGGCCGAGCAGCCTCTAGAGGAATCCCCGTCACCTCTCGACACCTCTCGTTTCCTTTCTCTCTTTTTGGGGGTTATATTTTTTGTTTAGGGGGGTTTAATTTGTCCTTTTTAACCTCCTTTCCTTCTTCTGCCCCGCTCTCCAGCCAGGCCCTCGCACCGGGCGGCGGCAGCAGCAGCAAAAAGACATGAACAGCAGCAACAACAATTTTTTTTTAATCGTTTTTTTTTTTTTTGGTTTGGTTCCTTCCATGCCGCCTCATATTTATGCATTCACGTATATCTTCTGTTATTTATGCATCCATTACTCCAAAGGAAATGTATCTTGTTTCACATGTATTAAACTGTATAAACTGGAAGCGTGGCTTGACTTTCTGCCGCGGCGCCGGGCGCCCTCGGCATCCCCGCGCGGGCGGCCGGAGCCGGGACACCCAGGTGAGTTCTGTAGCCAGGCCGGGGCCGGTCACGCACCGCGCTCCTTTGCCGAGTTATCGAGGATTATTGGCAGTAATTATTCCATCTCGGTGGGAGCACGAGGAATTGCAGGAAAGCACCGCGCCAGCGATTGTTCATAGCGCTTTGGGGACACGGCGGCGAACTCCTTCCCTTGCAATTTAACCAACGGCCTGGAAAAGAGGGGAGGCGAATTCCGCGGTGCGGGGCTGCCTCCTGCCTTGGGGTGCATGCGGCTGCTGCTCCTTGCTGCAGTCCTGGCCCTGCTGCAGAGGCTGCGTCACCCCCTTCGCCTTGTGGGTGCCCGAAGCCCCCGTTGGCAGCGTTCCCGATGGAGCCGCGGCACCCACGAGCCCTCGCCGCGTCCGGGGAGCAGGAGAGGGGGCCGGGTTGTAGCCGATGCCTCAGCTGCTCCAGCAGGCTCCGGTGTTGGGAAACGGCTGGGATTCACCGGATGCAGGAAAGGAAGGAAGAAGGAAAGAAGTCAGAGCGCGGCGTCCAGCTGCTCCGGGTTTGTTGGATGCAAACCCGGCTGCTTCCCGGAGAGATGAGGCTGTGGATGAGCGTCCCCCCCCAGCACAACCGGCTCTTGGCACCGCAGCCGGGTCGTCACTGTGGGAATGGACTCACAGCCCCGATCCCCAGGAAAAGCCGGGGCCTCCCCGGCCACCGCTGGGGTTTGTCACCCGCAGGGCAGGACGAGCAGGCGGCCGCTGGAGGAGGATCCATCCGTGAGGACACAGATGTGAGGATGGGAAAGGAAAAAAAAAAAAAAAACACTCCCCGTCGTTGCCTTTGATCCCTGCATCCTCTGGGAGCCGAAACAGGGATAGAGCAGCAGGACTTGGCAAGCTCCAAGCTGTGTCACTTGTGCCAGGCAGCAGAGAGGGACGCGAAGGGCCAGGGTCGCTGCTGCTGTCCCCGCTGCCTGCTGCTTTATCCACATGGAGATTCCTGCCAAAACGGGGGTACCGGAGACCACCCCTTCCCTGGGGCCACTGTTGAGGTCTCGGCCCGAAGCATCGGGCAGCCCCAGGGCCCAAACCCGGCCGCGACTCGTGAGAGGGTTTCATGCTCCGGCCGGTCGACTCGGGCTGGTGTTCAGCACTCGGGGCTCTCTGCAAGGCGACGTTGCCCACGGTCGGAAGTGAAAAGCACGCGGTAAACGCAGGTCATTATTATTTAATTGGATCGATGTCTGCTTTGCATTTTTAATGCCGTGTCCGTCGCCAACCAGACGCTTCCATTTCAGCTGGATCGCGGCGAAGCGTCGGCAGGAGCCTTTGAGGAACAGGGCTCAAAGGAAGATGAAAACCCATCGTGTTGGGGACGGGGCAGAGGAAACGCCACAAAGTGACTCCAAGTGTCTTCAGCCGGGCTCTCTTTCAAGGCTGCATTTTAGACGGTATCGATCTGAACGTCTCTGTCAGCCTAGGGAGGGAAAAAAAAGCACAAAAACCAAATCGGAATCCATTCCCGATGCAATTAGCCACAACCTTTAATCTGTCATCATTGCGAGATCACGCAGGTTGCATGAATACTAATAAGCATTTGATATTTGTACAAGCTTCCATAGGATGAATAATTCAAACGATTTCATGCTTTAAACCTTCCCCATTAGGCTTTAAGGACACGGCTGGACTCGAAGGGCTGGGGCCGTGTCTGCGCCTTTGTGTGGGGCGTAATTAGGAATTTCTGTCCCGACAGAGCCTCGTGCACAGGCTGAAATCTCCCGCATGGGTCTGTCCTGCACCAGCGCTTCGGGTCTGGCTGTTGCATCCCGCTGAGGGCCGGGAATAACCGCGGCCGCTTCCCAGGCTATTTCCCTTGCTCTTATTCCCTTACGGAGCCCTGCGGCCCCGGGAGGAGCCGGCTCCGGCCACACGACCACGATGCTGCCTGGCTCACACTGAGGCACTCATTGATCTTCCTCATTGACAGCAACAAAAACAGTCTCACAAACGAGTTCAAATACAAATTAATTCTTCACAGGAGCCTGGACATTTCACAGTCCTTGGCAGCGCCGTGCCCTGCCTGGGGAAGGGCTCCCAACCTGCTGGATTTTTAGCAGGAATTCCAGGACCACGTGCTGAGCTCGGGTGTTTCCATGTATTTCCATGGCCTTTGATGGGAATGGCAGGTGGGCAGGAGAACAGAAAGGAAAGGCTCTTAAGGAGAAGGGCAGGGAAGCTCACGGCAGCCTCATTGCAGCAATAAAAAGCAGGGCGGGATGAGTCAGGCTGGCAGCTCAGTGCAAACAGCCTCAAAATGCAGCAGTTTTATTGCGGATTAATGACACCATAAAATGTATTTCACTGGCCATTTAGCAGGTGTGCACTGTAAATATTTGGGATTAAAAACAAACGCTTCTGCCGTGCCACCGCATTGCCGGTCCTGCCCCGCTCCCCGTCGCCCAGAGGCCGGGTGAGGGGCTCCTGTTCCTATCCCTGGGATTTGGAGCCTGGCAGAGACCGTTGGGTGTTTTTTTTTTTCCCCAATTCCTTATGCTTTCTGGGAGGGAAAAAGCCCTATTCCCTTGGCTGTACCATGCTCTGGACATGCAATGGGGCCACCAGTATTAAGGCCTGAGCTATGGAAAACAATGGGTTTTTACCCGGTTTTATGGGGAAAAATAGTGGGTTTGTTTGTTTGGTTTGGTTTTTAATGGAAACTCACAGAGTTTTTAGAATTGGTGACCTAAAACCACCTGTGGAAGCAAAGTGATCTGGGAGTTTTTGTTCCCCTTGGAGATCTCCAAGAAGAAAGGAAAGGAAAAGGAAAAGGAAAAGGGAAAGGAAAAGGGAAAGGAAAAGGGAAAGGAAAAGGGAAAGGAAAAGGGAAAGGAAAAGGGAAAGGAAAAGGGAAAGGAAAAGGGAAAGGAAAAGGGAAAGGAAAAGGGAAAGGGGAAAGGAAAAGGAAAGGGGAAAGGAAAAGGAAAGGGGAAAGGAAACTTCCGTGCTCAGGATTTCCACTTTTAAATGTTAAAAAGGCGAATTGGGTCAAGGCGGATGGAAATGGAAATCAAAAGCACGATCTGGTTATGCCAGGGAGCAGGCAGGGGTGGCCGGAGACGCTGAGACCTCCTCTGGCGGCTGCATCAAATAAAATTAAAATCAAATAAAGTAAAAAAATAAAATACAGCGTCCCCTGA